AAATAAGCTCCATATTGGTATTCCTAACACTATATCGTTCCTTTAATGAATGAATGAATGATGTATAATTGTAAAACATTTTGCAAAATGTAAACTGTTTTCCCAACTAATTTTTGTCTAAGTTTCAAACTGATTGTCAGCTCACCATAACTTGCTATTAAAGGAACAGACATCAACATCTACTTTCCTTTTTCTAACTTAATCTTTATTAATTTGTTTTCTTATAAATTGTTAACAGCATAAATAGCATGATAGTAGAAATAATATGACACATCTTTACAAAATATTCACTAAAATACCATATATTTAAAAAATCTTTTTTTTTCAATGTAAAATAACTTACGAATGATATAATTGCCTATTTACGCAGTGAAAAGTGGTTGAATGTTTAAATTGCAAAAATATGTAAAGCATAAATTTACTATAATCTATTGACTAATATTACGCATTTATATACAGTCCAGGTTCATAGGGGGTGGGCCTACAGCTTTCAAAATTGCCCACACCGCACCGCCAATCTATCTAAATTCTGATCTGAAAGGACCACTAGCTCCTGGGGTGAGATATAAGTCACCTACCATTACCATACACCATTGCATGTTCAGTGTATTACATATCCCTTCCATTAAAACTGCTTTGTCATTTTTTTCCTGAATGCAGAACAAAACTGCTACCAAGAGAGATGTCCTGTTGCTCTATATATTGCCTGCATAATAATAATAATAATAAAATTGTGTTGTAATTTGTTTTTTATGTTGAGCCTGCTTTGGACTGTGTTATTTTCCATACTTTTTTTAATTTGTGAAAGTGAGGAGTATGTGTATTAGACCTTTTTATAAAATGTTCTATTTTGTGTGTGTTATGAAAGATTATAGCATGATTTGATGTCACTAACATTGTCATGATGTATAATATGCATTCTCTTCAATATTACCATGTATATTTAATGTTATACCGTGCTATATCATGTATAATGCAACTTTATTACAGAGAACTTACCACCAAGCGTACATCATTATTCTTTGCTGGTTTAAAGGGACATGCATCCCTTCAAGTCAACTGCCTCATTTAAAGTCTTTGACTCTAAATAATGTACAATTGGGAACTGAACTCTATCTGCAACAAGCTAAGGGTGCTGAACTAGACCATGGGCCATCACCAGCCTAATAATAAATACTAGTAACAGAGAAGAGGTCCAGGTACTCCAGAAGCTTCAGACACCTTTATTTGAAAATGGGGAACACTGCAAAATTTGACAAAGACCCATTCTGGGTTGAAAAGTTGCAGTGTTCCCCATGTTCAAATAAACATACCCAAAGCTACTGGAGTGCCTGGACCTCTTCTCTGTTACTGAATAAGTTATCTCATTCTGCAGGCAAATATGACTTCAAATAAATCCAATTTATTTGGATATATTTGTGATTCTGGACAAAGCTACCTTTGTTGTACAGTTATAGATATGGAGTATTTTAAATATCTCTGTTGTAGCTCATTCTATATAATACATAACTTTCATTATATCGCAAGAAATACAATGCATAAGCAAAGCAAATATAACAAATACTTCTCCTTTCTCTTTCCTCAGCCCACAAATTATTCAAATCCAGTGTATGCAAAACTATTTGTTGATGGACACAACTGTCGGAACTCCTTAATCAGTGTTGAAGAAAGAAAAGAACTGCTTCCAAAAAAAATAGAACACGTGATCCGGGAGACTGTGGCTTAATCTCTGATATTCTGTTTCCTTTTATACTCTGTATAAATGTATAAAATATGATTACTTTTCTATGTACCAACAGTATTATAATTGTTTTGACATCAGCATTACCTCTTTTTTCATTTTTTGTTCTGCTGATGACTATAGAACGACCATTTGTATGGTATTTTTATGAAGAAACAAACTGCACTACAGTACAATTTAAAATATAATGCTGCTGTTATAAAACACCATTTTATTTGTTAAAAAACAAAAAGTGAACACTATTCCTTTGTAGTGTAAAATGAGAACTCCATTTTATATGAACTTTTTTAGGTTCAATATTGTCTTTTCATTAAATAATCCAAATGATTGTAACTTGGTATAGATTGATTTGAATTTGAATTAAAATTTTAATAATATGCCTTCAGAACATTTAATAGATGCCATTTTGCCCATCTGAAAACATATAACAATAAATAAACAGTACACTTTACAATAGACATTCGTTCTCACTGGATAAAAAAAATGGAAATTAATTTTTTTAGGTTCGGAGAAACAAAAATGTAAGTAATATAAAACTGCAAAGCAAAAGAAGATTATGTATAAATACAAGACTCAATTTTGGCAAGAGTTTAGTGGTTATAATTAACATATGCATTTCCTTCTTAGATATAAAAGTAAAATCATTTTATATTCACATTATTAGGTTTTATGAATTTTATTTTGTCTTTTTTCTTGCTCTCATTCATCACAATTACCACAAATATGTAATTTTGTTAGGCATTAAACTTGACAGATATGTGCATTAATATCCAAATATTAAAAAGACTTTTAAAGAAAGGTAACACAAAATACAATTTAGTTCAGTTCAAGATGACTATTTAAAGCTAGATATAGTCTCACTATTTACTAATACTCTTCATGGAAGATCTAACTGATTTAAGTCTGTTTGGAAAGTGACACAAAATCCACATGACACAATATTCATCTCGAACAAATGCTGATCTTTTTCATTATTATTGGTTGCTAGGTAATTCTGCTTGGTGGCCAACTCAAAAATGCCAGTTGTTAAGGTGAAGTCAATTAACTAGCTTTCCAGAAACAATGCATGTTGAGATGCTAGCAGACAAACAGTGGAAATATATAAGCAAGGTGGTCAGATCTTCTTGTACTCCCTCCCATTTTTCATGGCTTGCAGGATGAGGGTTTTAGTAAAACATAATCTGCCCCTCAAAATATATGATAATCATGAGCAGTCTTACTAAGGATCTCCATCAATTCTAATACCTACTGTTAAGTGGGGTTTCATTTTATATTACTCTGGTACAAGTCATCTGTGAATTTAAATATTCGAGTACTATCCAAGCGATCTAACATTCGACTTTCAGGTGAGGTGGCAAGACCCTAATTGTATACCTAACATGTCTAAGTAAAGTGACAGGGAGATTCCCAATTCCCCGGTCACTTTTGAAATACTGCTAAATGTACGTGGATATAAGAATTATTGTCTATGCCTGAACAAACAATCTAATGCACTTAAAAGTTGCAACTATTGACATCAATTACCACTTTAAAAGAAATAAAAGAGCATACAAAACAACTTAGTTCCATCATCTAAGTAAACTGTCATAATTCATATTCTATGGATTTATACAGCACTTAAACACTGCATTCTTATTATACAGACAAGGTACAATGCAAAAATGAATAATCAACAGCAAAATCTATCTGAAGGTATTAATTTGAATTTGCTTGTTATTTAAAGTAAAACTAATGTTATTTTTTAGCATTTGGGTCATAGAAATAAATAAAAGTAAAAACATATATGCTGTCCATAGTGTAAAATAGACATATAATTTAACAGGTACATTTTGTTTTACGCTCTGTACTGCTCACCACCCATGAATGTTTATCACTCGTGGGTGGGCATTTTCACAACCAGTATCTGACCAATCAGCACTGACTTTTGCTATAGTAAAGCTTAATGTTACATGCAAAAGTTAATTTTTCTAATGCAAGCAATGAGTTATTGTAGATGACCATGAAATGGTATGTATCATAAAGAGTATGCCATTTATGCTTAACATGAGTAAATTTTTGTTAACCTTTGCTACTACTGAATATCTAATTATTTAAGCAAATATAGACTAATCTTCTAGAACCTTTTAAAGAACACTTGCAAATCATGAATGGTAACAATTTGATCCTTAACCCCTTAAGGACCAAACTTCTGGAATAAAAGGGAATCATGACATGTCACACATGTCATGTGTCCTTAAGGGGTTAAATACATTATGCCAGAGCATTTTCTTTAATATACTTCGGTATTTCTATGTTGATGCTACATAAGTTGGAAATCTATGTCAGAACAGTATCTCTAAGGGCAAGATTGTTTTGATGACATAGGCAGCCCACAATGGTCAGTCGTGCAGTTATATAGTGATTCACTTCATAGCAAGGTCCGTTGTAACTTAATGGATATGCAGTATAAAGTGATAACCTGATCGGTGTCTCATTTAAACCTAACACCCAAGCATTTAAATCTAGCACCCAAGAAACTCTGACCACAGCTGAATGAAAATGAATCTACTGGGTATTCTCCACAGTTGAAGTATTGTATTACATGTTTAATGCCTATATGTATTTTTACAGATGTGCTCCAGCTTTTTACATATCATGTCAAATTGAACATTTCTAAATATAGTTCTAGATTTTACTAAAAATAAAATATAAATCAATTTATTTTTTAGAAAAATGTGGTGCTATTCTTTCACTGGTTTATAGTGGGAGTTCATGTTTAATTCTCTTTATCACTTGTGAAGATGTAAAAATGACACTGGGAGAGGCTGAATTGCATAGATATCAAGCTATCCCTTTAAACTATCCAGAGTACTGGTTACAGTGTATTTATTACTATTATATATGATGTACAACAAGAAAAATACCTGTGCTCCAGTGTCTACTTAAAATTACAATATTAGATTAAACATTTTTTTCATTGAAATATAATAAAAATTAATTACCTATTTTATTTCCCCAAAAATATTTTCTCCAAAGCCAAGCCTGGTCGTATATATATATATATATATATATATATATATATATATATATATATATATATATATATATATATATATAGATAGATAGATAGATAGATAGATAGATAGATAGATAGATAGATAGATATAGATATATCTATAGATAGATATAGATATATCTATAGATATATTTTAACAGCTGGACAGTAACATGAAAATTTACCTATTTGTAATAAAAATAAAATATTTAAAGAAAATCTAAGGCACAATTACATGTTCTTATTATCTTTTCCTCTACATGACTGTTGATTTATTATCTGTTATCAGAATAAAAATACCCTTTGTACAAGCATTATTATTAAAAAGTACTGTTTTATACAATTGTTGTTGTAATAAGTGCATGTACACTACCTATTTCTAAAGATATGCCATATAGAGGCCTTTAAAACAAAAATAATATATGTGAAAAATTGCCTGAAAAAGTGTTATGCCTATCATATCATATTATATCTTTTTTTTTTGCCTTAGGACATACCTTCAACTTGAATGATATTTCACATTTTGTTATAAAGTATATTTTTACTTATGTTTCTATAGTGAAGCGTTCAGTGGAGCTGGTAGACTATTTTATTGAACTGTAGGTTGTGTATACAGTTAATCTTACCAAGTTTGTTATAGACCCCTGGGTCAGTTACTAATAGCTAAAAAGAAAGTTTGTTGTCCAAAAAGGTAGTAATGACAATCAAATTATACCAGAACACTTTGAAAATATGTTTGTGCTAATGGTATTTTGGGAAATGTAAGGATGTCCTTATATCATGTACATTAAAAGAAATTTCATGTTTTTATATACCATTTTTTTATTGGTTAATTGAATACCAATTTGTTTTTCTCTCTTTGAAGAGTTTCAGTCAATTTTGTAACATAATTGTGGATGCATCTTTTAGTATTCATATATAGAGTTTAATCGAAAAATTACATTTTATTTGGTAACTAAATAAAAAAAATATAATAAAAAAGGATAGTAATGACATTCATAGAAATGTATAGTATATAATTTGTTTGCAATGTTATCAGTTGTGTGACAGAAGACATGTCATGACTGTCACAATAACAAGTGCCTTACTAGCTATTGTCATGGATCCTCACGTATTACTCCATATGTCAATTGAGTGGATGATTTTTAATGTTATACACTGTGATTTTTCTTCATTTTTATTAATACTACAACTAATTGTTCACCATACCAGGTACTCTGCTTTCAAATGGTAATGTTTATTGTCATGATTTAAGACAATAGATTCAAGAGCAGATTTTTCTTTTGTTTTTCAGTTTCAGCATTATTTATTGTTTACAATTTCCCCATAATAATAAAAATAAATAACTTCACTTACAAGACTGAATATTAAATTTTAAATAACAATACATATCATAATAGAATATGGATGAATTATCATGCTAGAAGATCACTTAAAAAAAAAGGTCTATACTTCACATAAATATTCGATAATTATAATATTCACAAATCATTTATTACTTTATAAATAACCTATTTTATTTTATTTAAAATAGATTACAAATGTGTTTGCGGTATTGCTCTAGACTGTCAGGGAGAAGTGAATGTATTAATGGGTTTGGATTCTGGTAGATTTTTTAAATACAAATTTTTTTGTGTTTTAAACACATTGCATATTTATTTTGAAGCTTGCCCATGAAGTGTACAGATAAGAGCAAATCACAAAATGTTATTAAAATGTGTACACAAACTGATATGTCATATCAGTCATTATGACATGCCATAATTTCTTTATTTTTACCTTAATGTTAAATCAATGCAAAACAAAATTGCCCAAATTTCCTTCCTCTTTATTACAGTGTTATTATTAATGAAATATAAAAAAAAAAATGAATTGCCATGGCTCCATACTGCCCCTATGCATATCTATAAAGGACTGTAAATTGTCTTAGAGGATGTGGGGGACAGAAAAGAGGAATCATAGTGCCAGTGTGTAGGTAATTATGGAGGATACTGCAAGACCTGTAAGCCAATATAGCCACCTGCTGTGTGGAAAGCTTGAAAAATACTGTGGTTTTCTGGCTTCAGCAAAATCCCTTTCATCTCTTTTATGGGGGTCCATCTCAGCAGTTTGTGGCTTTGTGGCTATTCAGTGTCTCTATCTTGATGAACCTATCTACTTTTAGTTTATGGCATATTGCAATCAAATATGTCTGCAGCTTTGTGACCTACCCAGCTGGGATTAATAGCTCTGATTCATAGCATTACAAACAGGCAATTCTGGTATTGTTCTGCTCAGTACTAAGGTCTGATGTAGGGTGAAGGGATAAAGTCTAGCCTATTTTTTATATAGTTTAATACTGTTGGACATGTTCTTTAGATGATGTTTCTAACTTTCTCTGAGAACAATTTTTCATAATACATTTTTTCATAATGTTGAATGTTGCTTTTGTAAGATGGGTTCTGTTATTATTGTTTTTCCTTCAATAATTCCCTAATTAAAAAAAAAAAAATCTATTTTTTTTTTTTAAGATTTTTTCTTTCTTTGCTCAGTAAGCCGATGTGGAGTGACTGGGATTTTTACATATCACTGGTTTTGAATAATATTTTCTACACAATAATTTGCCTTCTATTATAGTCTATAAGTAAATTTACATAGCGGATTCGCATTTTTTGGGCATATGCAACATTAATGTTTGGTATAATGTTATATTCACTTTATTTTGATAAATTATAATCATTATTCCAAGTTTTTTTTATAATTGTGGAGCTAGTTGTTATGCATTTGTTAATTTTATTATCCTGGTATTTCTGCATGTATGCCAATATTTCAGTTCTTGATATGATAAGGAGCATCAAATAGCCTCTAAAACAGTTTACCTCTTATTATAATGTAAGTAATTGTAAAAATTAGTAAATTAGTAAATTAAACATTAATTTACTCATTAAATACTTAATCTTTTCAAGTATCCCTGAACAGAAATCTATAACTGAAAATGTAATTTTATCTTAAATGCACGTGCTAGATATGCTTCCAGGTTTCCAACAAATGCTAAAACATTTTGTTTGCTGTAGAATAGGTTAATGTCATGCTAATAATAACATCAAGAAATAAGACTTAATCTCATTGGTGAGCAATTTTGGTACATGATACATTTAAAATATACTTTTTAGACAGCTTTTAAGATATATTTAATAATATATTTGTAGACATTTAAAATTAAATGGTTGTATTTATCTAAGGGACCTATATCTTGATTTAATATTGTTAAAATGTTAAAATATTTTTATATAAAAAAATTAATGTCAAAATTATATCATCTGTAAAAATATTCATATCTAAAAAAGATATAAACACTTTCTCAAAATATTAAATAATTTTAAAACTTTATCCAATAATATTAAATCATTTGAAAAGCTTATCTAAAAATATAAAATTAAGGCCATATTTCAGCTATATCTTGATAAACAAAATCTAAACTTGTACAAATAAAATATAATAACTTTATTTTAAAGATAGTGCTCTGTTACCTAAAAGCTCTAAACTATGTGGGCTCAGCACATAAGCATTTACTGAAGAATCAAATATGATATCATCAACGGAGCTCAAAACTAATTTTCTCTGCAATGGGTCTCTGCTGCCATCTATTATGAAGATATTCCAATGGCTTCCTGATTACCATGACATCTGACATCACCATTACAATACTTATTACATTGGTTCTTGAATGATATGTACTATACCAGCTTGATCATGTTGAGAAATGCATCTTAAAACTTTACTTAGAACCTGTGAGTTTGCAAACTTCAACTTCCCTATGGACATAATTGGTGTCCTGAATGTGATATACCAAGTAGATTTGATTCATTAACACAGATGTCCAACATACTAGATTCCCTGGAAGGTAGCTGCTATAGCATAAAGGCTATAATAGGCTATAATATACCATATCAAACTTTTACAGCTTTATTTGAGGGAAAACGTCTACAAATATTTCAATAGAGAGAAACCTCCTCACAAATGCTTGAAAAAAAGAAATTATTCCAGTATGTCTCCTTATAAAGTACTCAAATTGGGCAGACTAGATGGGCCGAATGGTTCTTATCTGCCGTCACATTCTATGTTTCTATGTTCAAATAATCTACAATAAAGAATTTTTTTCTACCTCACTCTATTGCCTCATTTAAACTATGGATTCTATCTTATTTGTTCTCCTCAGTCAGCATTATTGTCATTTACATAATGGACTTTACATCAACTTGCAATTGCATTGTGTGTAATGTGTACTGCACTTTCTGCAACCCTTTCCTCAATTTCATCTATCCAACTTGGAGCCATCTGAAACTTGTATTATATTTTCAATGTATTAATGAATTCTTTTTATTTTACCTACTTACTAAGATTCAATACAAATTTTTAAATAAAAATCAGTTTTGACTCACAAAATAAAATAAAATGTACTTGCTTTGTTTACTGTCCAATCAGAGCCATCATTATTAACCACATGTCTTCATGAAAATTGACCACTTGTTTAAGAGCAGATGATATAACAGAATATAAGACCTATGCACAGTTAAAAAAATTGGTTGTCTTAATAGAATTGTCTAAAAAAGTTTTTTTGTAAAATCAGGTTTTGTCCATGTTGCATATTGATTCTGAGGATTTTCATCCATACAATAATGTTGGTAAAGCTATTACCAGCATCTTGAGTCATCCAAATTGTTTTTCCCAAAATTATTGCATGGAAAAAATTTGGATGAACCAAGATGGCACCAAAATGCACATATAAATATTATTATATATATATATATTATATATATATATTATATATATTGCTATACACTGATAGGCATATTTTTGCACCATTTCATTAACAGATCAAATGAGAAGTAATACTTGTAGAGTGAAAAAATAAGCCAAAAAAATCTGTATATATATATATATATTTATATATTATTATATATATAGATATAAAATATCTAATTAATATTTAATATATAAATAAAGATTTTTTTTTAACTCTATTGGTCACTTCTCACTGAGAATAAAATCATCATTTAGTGACTGTCCCCTAAACCATTAATGGTACAGTTTTCTATCAATTATCTTTATTTTTGTCACTAAGAATAGAACTCTGAACCATAAAACAAACAAAATTGCTTTTCCGTTGCCCATTACTCTTTGTGAGAGTTTTGGAGTTGTAAAATTCAGATGAATTGCCATTCACCAACAATTTTTGGCAAATCAAAATTAATTTGAAACTGAATGCGCAAGTCTACTGATTATTCAATCTTAAATACCTTCATTTAAATGAATAACAGTAATACAGAAACAAGGCATACTCTGTGTTTAAAAAATGTCATGCATTTGCTGATTACTTCCTGTCATCATTTAATTATTGAAGGGTCATCCCAGGTTGGATTCTAACACCCTTAATAATGCATTACTTACATAATGTTTACAAATATATGTGATTACTAAAATGCCCAAAATTATGAAAATATTAGTAAATGATGTAAAAAATGCTTATGTCAAAAATTAGACAAAAAAGAACAAAATTTGAGTGTGTTTGCTGAAGAAGAAAAGTGCATATTTAACATTTTATATATATTTTTAAAAATGCATATTTTAATATTTTAATATTTTGTGCTTTTGAGCTGGATAGTTCACCCATCCCTATTCTATAGAGTATGTTTGATAGGCATTCAGATTGTAAAAATATTTATTTAACCAAGGATGGTAAGTCTAGTGAAGGTCTGTTGTTTTCTAATTCCCAAACTTTATAAGTTCATCTAGTGGCTGAAATCAATATCATCAAGATTACACATTACATTGTCTATGGTTTAGTGCATACATTATATGCTGTTCATGTCTGTTCATATTATAACAAGGACAATGGTTTCATCTAGAAGTCAGAATAAATTCTTTCAGCACTTGTAGAATGTAGAAAGATGTAGAAAGCAGTCAGATCCTGACAATCCAATTGCTCTTTTGCTATATTGGTCCCCAAACATACATTGAGAATCCTATAAATACTTGATAGACAAATTCATAATATGCATTTCACTGCTCACCATTGAAACAATTTTAATGTATATTATTATAGCTGGCATAGGCAGCACTCTGCACTCTAAAGAGTACAGTACAGCATGATTACCATCCCTATAATATTGCATTATACCTTCTTTCAAATCAATATATCCATTTATATTTAAATTTTAAGCATATTTTTAAACTGAACCAGCAAAAAGTCTCCCGACTGCTGCTTGTGATTGAGAAAAGCTAAATGATGCCAAATTGCTCTTTCAGCATGCATAAATATAATCAACACCTTAAAACGAAATCTAATATCCCAAAAATCATTATTTCGTGGCTATAGGTTTTTTACTGTCCACCACCCTTGTATTTATCCTCCTTTGCATTTAAAAATTAGTTACTTAAAAAAAAAAAAAGTTAAATAAATATTACTCACATAATTAACAGCACTTCAGAACTCCTCTTCTGCAGTCTCTAGCTCCACACTCGAAGACATCAGTATGCCGGCTACCTTCATGAAGGAGCAATGGATTGGAGCTACCCACACACAGCTTCATAGCAGCATTTAAAGTGACACTATAGGCATCCAGACCACTTCAGCTCATTGAATTAGTCTGAGTGCAGTGTCCCAGTCCCCCTAAGTTCTGCAATGTAAATCATTGCAGTTTTCAAGAAACTGTAATGATTACATTGCAGGACTAAGACTGCCTCTAGTGGCTATCAATCAGCTACTAAAGGCACTTCCTGGTGACTAAGCGACTTTTGCTCTCGTGCTCTGAATGAGGACATCCAGCGTCAGTAATATCCCCATAGGAAAGCATTAAAGCAATGCTTTCCTATGCGGAGGACCTAATGCGCTTGTGGCAGGGGGGAGTTGGGCCCAAAGGGAACTATAGTGTACAGATTACAACTTTGAATTCCTTACAATACAGAATCTCTTTAAGTCTCAGACCAGGTTTTACTGAGTCTAGAGGAGGAAGCGTCTTTAGATGGATTTGCATTCTAGTACTGCCATGTTTCATATTGTAGGGTTACAACTAAAGGACCACTCTTTAACTCTGTAATTGAGATGAAGTGGTCTCGGTGACTATAGTGTTCATTTAAGGCTATATATAATTCCGATATTTTATCTGATAGCACCAATTAATTCTTACAGATCAGTCTTACACTCTGCTTTGTAAGGCTGCAAAGCAACAAAAGGCAACTTACAGCTTTAAAAATTACAAATATTTGTTGTAAAGCAATAATCTGAATAATGGCAGCATATGTCACACATAAATAAACATCAGTCAAACATCACAAGTATGGACAGATGGATTTTTCAGAGGAGATTTGCTAAATGTTACAAAATTACAGATTAGTAGGCATAATAACGGTTTCTAGAGTAAGTGTATTAAGAGCATTAAAAAAACTGGCACTGTTACATAGAAATTGATTGTATTTTTGCCTATACATGTTATATATTTTTCTTTGACATTAATAAACTGCAGATTAAAGATAATGTTCAGCTAGATCTGGGCATTGCCACAGTTAGTGGTGACAAAAAAAATAAATAGCAGTCTTTAAAGGGAACAGGGAAGAAGACACCCGTGAGGTAGGCGACACCCAGGAAAAAAGAGGGGCATTGTGAACCCAGGAGGCATTATCTAAGCCGTATCATCCCAGAAGAGATGTGACTGTGGGGAGTGACAGGATAAGAAGGCACAGTGTTTCAAAGATACAATAAAACAATAACATGTTAAAGGGTATCTGTCATGCCATTTATAACTTACACTCTATTTAACCCCTTAAGGACCAAACTTCTGAAATAAAAGGGAATCATGACATGTCACACATGTCATGTGTCCTTAAGGGGTTAAGGAGCATAACATTCTTTGTATACATGATAGCATAGCACAGTGGTTCCCAACCCAGTCCTCAAGTACCAGTCCAGGATTTAGGGATTACCCAGTTGTGTCTAAGGTGTTTATAAGAAACAAAAAAACAAAGACACAACAGGGTTATCCCTAAATACTGGACTGGTAGAGGGTTCTTGAGGACTGGGTTGGGAACCCCTGCCATAGCAGATATGCTAGCAAATGTATAGATTCTTTCTCCCACCTATCACCTGACCACAGGCAGTTCATCTGCTGTCCAAGCATAGCAACCACAACATATGATCTGTGGTTGCTATGGTGACATCATAGGACTGGCTTTGGAGTTTAGAAATGTATGTGTTTGATGTCACTCCATTCAGATGCTGGCATGCTAGCAATGGAGCCAGTGTGTTGGCATTATGAGAGGAGGTTTGCCCTGTATGGGGAAGTGTCAGTGGGCAGGGTGTGGGCAGGCCTCTGGTGAGATCTTACAAGTGCTGGATTGGAAGGTCAGATGAGTCACAGTTTCACCATAAGTAAGCATTTTGCTGTCTTCCCATCCATATGTAACATGCAGTGCTGTAATGATACTATAAAAATTTTGTGAGAACTGTCATTAGTGCTATCTTTCTTTATTTTTGTGTGAAGCACTTTAAAAATGTAAACTTCACAGGACATTTTCATATTTGAAATATGTTCAATATATGTCAGCAAATATAAGTATTACATTATTTCATATATTTATCTGACTTCACGGTTACATTACTAATATAATTAAAATGTTTTGTAGCACAAAGTGATAGAGTGAAAAAGTATTAAACACCACAAATACAAATTAAATACATTTTAATCCTCCATTTTCATGTGTCGGCTGCAGCCATCTTGTGTAAATCACTAGCGATGAAACTAATGTGCTTTAAAGGCTGTTAGGAAATGCCACATATCTAATAGATAAGGCACATGTTTTATTTGTTGCCATTTTCAATGCAATCATTGCTATAAAAAATTTATGTTCAGTGAACTTTTTATTTAAAATGTCATTGTAAGACATTTGTTAAAAATATAGAAAAAATTGCTGTATCTAGGTTTTAAAAGATAACTGTGAACGCCACTTTAATGGCACATTGGTAGATCCAATTAGAGTTAATCACTGCAATATCCCTGATATAAAATAGTGACATACAAGAATTTGACTGCAGACACTACACATCATACTCATTGGTAAAAAGTTCTAGCAATAATTTCTGCACTTACGCAACAACATAGATAAAAAGAATGGTGTTAAAAAAGTTACATAAATTCAAATTGTGTTTGCTATATGTCTAAGGATCTATAAATTTAAATAGTCATTTAGTTCATTATTATGTGAATTATCGGCTTGATTTGCTAAAGGCCAGTATTGATTTTTTGGCATTCTGACAAAGTTACTCAGTCACAAAGTAAGGCTTCTAGGTGGAGCAAAAATACTTCACACATGGCCATAGATACCCCATTGTG